ATGTACATTTTAATATGTTCCCCGCGTTTTACGCGGGTCATAATCTAATAGTACATTAAAAGGTAAACCAGTTTGGAATATATTAGAAAAATATCATTTATATCTATCATTTTGATTTTCGACTATTTGTTTTTGATAAGAGGATTTGGATGCTACCAAAAACAAGTTAGGAAAAAATTGAAAAATATAACGCATGTAATTTTTTCGGTGTTGCAAAAAGCAGTCTAGAAGGACGATTAATCGTTGCCTTAACGCTAGTTGGTCTCTACCCGATGACGTTTAGTGCTAGTCGGCCAAGATAATCGGTGTTGTCAAAGTTGGTCAAACCCTGACCTAGGCGACCTAATTGGTCAATGACGGTAAAAAAAACGTTTCAAGGGAAAACTTTTCAAAATTTCTATTAATTTTTCAAATTGGTTAACCTCTTAAGGTGGCGTTTGGTTTGTTAGAATCATTTGGAATTAGAGGAAATTATAATCTAATTCTATCATCTTCTCATGTTTGGTTTAAGATTTAATAATGAATTGAATTCCTAAATGATGTGAACTTTCCAAAGGAAAGTTCAATCCATGAAAAATATGATGGAATTAAATTCCTTTTTATGAGGGAAAATACAAGATTACAATAATATCATTTTTCTGTCACCATCAACCACTATCACACCACCCACCGCCACCTCCACCACCTACAACTATCGTTGTGGGTGCCGCCATCAGCACCTCTGCCACCATCGATCACCACTACCACCACTTAATATTTTTATATATATTTTATCTAATATATCTTTACATATATAGAGTATAAAACAAAGTAAAATTGAGTAAAACAAAAATGCCAAATTTTGTCGTTCTACATTATTCCAATTCTATTTTCCGTAAACCGAACAAAATATGGAATTGGATTCCAATTTCATTTCTTATCAACCAAATATAATATATAATTAGATTACAGTTTGTGACAAATTCCAATTCATTGACAAATTTCCATTCCTTCATAAAAATTCTACAAACCAATCACCACGTAAGTTGTTAAGCTCTTAATCTATTATTTTGAAGCTACTAAACACTTACTTTGATTTGTAGTTAGTAACTATTAAGCCTCTTGTTAATCTAATGGTTCTGATAACAAATGACAATCAATGACATCTAGTTTATAACTTTTTATGCTTATTTTCTCATCTTATTCAGGTTAAGATTTATTAATTTTTGGATAAATTCTTTAATAATTTAAGGTCTCGAATTAATCTTTTTTTTAACGGCTAGACTTTAATAAAATTGAACAACAAAATGATGGAGTTACAAGGTACAGTACAAGGGGCTGTTAGCCCATGCCTCCCATAACAAATCTCTACCCCATTTGGCTCTACTCTTAAGCCATAAAAACGCCAAAGCCTTAACCTCATAAGCTAAAGTATTTGGTCTCTTCACCTTGCCTTTGAAAACTAGTTCATTCCTGTACGTCCAGATGATCCATAAGAGTTCCCTTGACGTCACTTCAAGGATTTCTAGGGGTCTCGAATTAATCACAGTCTGAATCAATTAACCCCGGTCAACCAACTAGTTATAGTCGAGCGTTGTTTACAATATTGATTTTTTTTAAAGTTAAAAATATAATAGTATCATCTTGACCCATTAAATGATCCCGGATAGTTTGCCTAAAACACTTTTGTCATGCAAAACAAAGAGTTTTGTTTGTTCGCCCATTTCTGATGACCCATGCAAGCAGTGTTGTAAAACTCGCCGAGTTGGCCGAATACTCCTCCGAGTACTCGCTACTCGGCCCTTGCCGATGCGAGTTACAGAATCCCGAGTACTCCCCGATCGGCCCCTTACTGAACTGAGCAGTGTTGTAAAACCCGGTCAACTCGGTGATTAATATGTATAATATACTTAATGATTTATTATTTAACACACACACGTGTGATTATTACTACATATATATCTTAAATTTTCAGTAATTATTCACGAAGTGAGACCATCATGTGTTTTTTAGTTTTTCTGTATTCACATGTATCTAATTTTGTTATATATTTCAATCAACTTAAGATTTTAACTTATGATTTTGACATATATAAGTTCCCTAAAAATATTTCTACATGAATTACCGAATCCGAGTACTCCCCGAGTACTCCCGAGTACTCGCTACTCGGTAGTCGGCCGAACAGGTACCGAGTAACGAGTTCTACAACCTTGCATGCAAGTATTGTTAAATAAAATATATTTATGTACACAGATTTTATGAATGAGTTTTGCAAAAAGTTGTTTCAATCCGGTCTGGTTTGGTTATATTAGGCCGAAAGCAAGCATAATTTTAAAGTCAGATGAACTTACATGGTTTGCAAATGACTTTCTCTCTCTCTCTCTCTCTATATATATATATATATATATATATATATATATATATATATAGACCAACGGATGAAATATAATCAAAGGTCATGATATGAGGGTCTATGATAGTATAATAGGGTAACATGTACCAAATAATCACACAAATTTCAGCATAAGCGCATTGTAGTCAATTGAGACAAATTTAAAAAAGGAAAAATCGAGATTTATAGGATAATTAATGATTTTGATCTAAAAAAATCTGATTTTTTTCAAATTAATTCAATTTCAAACATAATTTATAAACATAAACCGATTTTATTCTATCAGAATGTTATTTTGTTAGAATGATATTCTGTAATTCTGTCAGAATGGTATACAACTATGAACATAATATTATAAAAACATATTATCAAGACCAATAATTTTTAATGAATACAAATTTTATATAAGACGAAGTTTAATAGTTTAGAATAAGTAATTACATTCATTCTTAAAGAATACAACTATGAACATAAACTACATTCATTCTTGAAATCTCTTGCAAAACAAATATCGGCATTCTTGAAAGAATCCTCATTCACTTTCTTGTTTCGTTTCTAGATGTCTTGTGTATGTTTGACATCTAAGCCACTTCAAAATATGCTATCATTCTATGAGTTTGACATTTTGTGAGATTAGCATTCTGTCAGAATTGTATTGCATGAGAATAATTTTATACAAGGAGTCTTTCCCATCAGGTCTTGAAGCCATTTCTATCACAAATTCATTGCCAAATATTTTGTAGTGATACACTTGTAACAACTGCACATTAAACATATAACTAATTAACTACAATTCTATCAGAATACATTAATAATATTCTTACAGAATAAACTATTCTTGCAGAATGGTTTTGAATATTCTTAAAGAATTTGTATTATCAAGAATATACCCAAGGAACAAAACATTGAGTCCTCCAGTGATCTTGAAAGGATACAAACTCTTGTAAGCGTGAACCATGTCATCACTGAATCTTCTACCAATAAAACACTTAGCATCTGAAAAATAAACACGGCACAAGCAACCACATTATGATAAAAAGGGATGCAGGGTTAGAATAAAAAGAATGGTGTATATTCTAACTTCATAGAGAATCACAACTATGAACATAAAAGTACAGTTCCATTTTAGATATATGATGGAAATTCACCAAGTACACTGGAGTTTATGAGAAAGACTACAAATAGAATAAGCTTACTGTAAATTTCACAATTGAAAAGTTAAAGACCTATTTTTGACTAAATGTTTAAAAGTTGCAGGTTCATTTTCGGAGTGAGAAAAGTGATAGTTTATGGAAACTAAGCCATATTAAGATAACATGAGTCGTTTCGGTATACAATTGTAAACATAAACCTGAAGTGTCGGCAAAAACATTCAAGTACAGATTACAATAAATCTTAGAAGCTAAGTAAAAAAAATCTTAAGTACACAAATTTTGAATAACTGGAGTACTGAAACTCTGAAGAAGAAGAAGAAACATACCAAATTGATTGATATATGAATTTGGTTGATTAACAGTTAGTTCTTATAAAATAACATGAAACTGTTAGTTCTTCATCTACGAAATAAAATTTGATTTATTCATCATCCGAAACTGTCATTTCGGATTTCAAAAACCGCCATTCTTACACGCTAGGAAGAATCCGTAAATACTAAACATAAGCAGTGATGAATTTACTTACATAAGGAGAACTAGGGCAGATTAACTTCAGGAATTCAATATATAGCGACTTCGTTTTGAATATTCATAAAGACCTGGTGTTTCTGATTTGGGTTTCAGACCTGTTGACGAGTCTTGATCGGATTTAATGGAACCTATTTGGGTTTCAGACCTGTTGACGAGTCTTGATCGCAGTGGTTTTTTGGAGTGAAAAGGGTTTGAGAATTTTGGAGGTTTATGAGGATTTTGAAGTGGGCAGCGGTGATGGTGATGGTGTTGATGCCGATGATGAACGTGTTCGGCCACACACATAACTAGGTCAAATATATTTACGTTATTTCCTTAATTGAATTATTTCAATTAAATGATTTCCTTAATTAAAAGTACAAAAGGTCCAAAATACCCTTTAATGATTTATTTAATTATTTATTATTTCTTGAATTCTCATTGGTGCATTTAGGCACATAATAGTTGCTAGAAACATTTGAACCTAATTCTCTCTCTCTCTCTCTATATATATATATATATCTATATATATATATATATATATAATATATATATATATATATATATATAGGGGAAAGGATCAAATGAGAACACCTAAAAGGTTGAGAACGCGAGAACAAATCTGGTACATTAAATATTTAAAATCTAAGGTTGTCATTAATCATTAATTTAAACATAATATTAAATGATTTTAAATTGTTTTTTAATTAAAAAAATATAAAAGGGTATTCAATTAATTTTATGATGTCATCCATTTTGAATATATCAGGTAAGTTTGACAATTAAAAGAAACTGTTCCTATGTTTTAGTAATCACAGCTAACTTCTTATCTTTGGGAGGATTCGATCGTATCTGCGATGCAAAATATTGTCACAGCTAAACATTTATACGACAATCGATTACTACTGTTCATCTGTAAAGAGATTTGTGCATTCAGAAGTCCGTAAAGGGTTGAAGGTGGAGGAATGTCGTCGACCATCAACCGAATTGGAAGAAGTAAGCTTTCTAATCTTTTTTGAATGTCGATTGAGTGGAAAACGGGTGTAGTAGTGGGTTTAGTTCTTCTTAATGTTTACATTTTAACGATTCTTAAAACCCTAGAATTAGGTTTTTTCATTTTTTCTTTATATCATCTATTATGAACTGTAGTAGCTCAAAATCGTCGATGATTGTTGATTTAAAGTTTGTATTTTATGAATAAAACGATATTGTATGTGAATGTGTAAACGAAAATGGTAATCGTAGATGAGTTTCAATGTTACGGTAGTCTGATATGGAATGTATTTAAGATTAATCGTTTATGATTGTGATTGAAAGTTTTATGATGTAGATACATGTGTAGTCGTAGTCGACTACTTTGAACTTAAGTACGATTATGAAAACCCAAAAATTAGGGTTTTTTTTTATTTTTTTTTCAGAGTCGTCTTGTTGAATGTCAAAGTAAGTAGATTATCAGTACCACAAGAGGAGTAATTGATATTAGTATTCGATTTTGAATGGTGTTTAAGAGCAAAAGAATAAGGAAGGGTATAAATGTCTTCACTGTTGATTATTTGTAAAATATGATTGTTTGTGGTACAGAATTACCTTTCTAGTATTAATCCTTGTTGTGGGTTGTATATTGTTTAGATTGTTAAAGGCATATTCGGTTGTGAATGGGTACTTTATTGAGTATGTATGTGTTTTTGATCCTGTACATGATGTAGTAAGTAATGAATAACGGTGTAGGAGTCCCTAATGGTTTTTGTGACTAAATTATTTACACTGTTTGTTAAGTGATATTTTTGTAGACATTACTCTGTTGTTGGGTATGTGTTTGATTGAGTTTGTGTTTACTAGGGATAATGTATGATTATTTTAGTTGTTGATGATTCAATTCTGAATTATAAATGAATAAGGTATTATAGTTCTACTATTAGGTAGAAAGAAAAGCGGGAGGATATTACTAAAGACGGCATTCAGCAAATTCACTAATGAAGAATCCAATCCATTGCTTATTGATATTGAAGATGAAGACAATCAAGGAAACGAAACAGGAGAACCTCGGATTAGAAGAGAAGGACAAAAGAAATGTTCAACACCTAAGAAGAAAACTAAAAAACAAACTGGTGGTGATGATGATTAAATGAAAATTAAAATGTTAAATATCAATTGGAATCTATATTGATTATGTGTCTTAATTTTTGGACAGGTGTGGAGGAACGTGTGAATCGCACACCAGCCAATTCAATGCAAAGGGATCTTAAAGTTGTAGTTTTGAGCTCAGATTCAAGTAATGAATTTGTTTAAAATTAAATTTATTTAAAGTTTGTTTTTGTAGTTAGTTTTAATAACTTGTATTGTTTTATATTTATTAATAGAAAATAATATGAAAACCAAAGTCAATGTGAAGAAGTTTGCTGCAGAAAAGCAAGTGTTTCAAAATCTAAAAAAAAGATACAGAAACAAAAAGGTATCAATGATGATTTCATGTAATGTAAGTTGTATATCAAAATGTGTTCAGTTATGATTATGTTGTCTACATATTGACAGGTTTGATTGAAAGTGTTGACATGACAGAAGATAATGAAATACATAGGGAAAATGAATTGAGAACAAAAAGACGGTTTGATTGTTGTAAAATAAAAGGTGATGAAGTTGTTGTTTTAAACTCATGTTCAGGTAATGATTTATTTTTAATTAAATTTAGTATAATTTTATTTTTGTAATTTAGTTATAATCATTTATTGTGTTAAATATGTCTTAACTGGAAAACATAAGGTAACTGTCAAGAAGCTTAATGAAGATGAAGACTCTGATTTTGAAGATGCTAAACCTGTGCTTATAAGGAAAAAAAGAATGCATTATACTTCCTTCAAAGATTATGACAAAGAAAATGTGAAGAAATTAAAAAGACAAAAGAATAAAGAAGGAAATGTAGTGAAAGCAATGAAAATGCCTAAAGTTGTAGGAAATGATGCAGAAGAAGCAAGGCGAATACAAGTACGAACATCTCCAAATGTTTTGTACAGTTGTATGCATAACCTTAGCAAGGAACAAGAAGCGTATATTTCTTCTATTGGTCTGGGGAATTTGTTGAATATGAAAGTGGATGGGTGTGCATCAATTATGGGGCATTATACTGTAAGGAATTTTGATGCAGATAGGATGGTACTCAACCTTCATCATGGTGATATACCAATTAATCGGCAGGTTATTCACGAACTGTTGGGTCTGCCTCTGGGAAATGTTACAATAAAGTCCATGGCTTATAGAGAAGTTACAGACGACACGATAATTGTTTGGAAGAAACAATTCGATGATGAAGATTATATTAGACCAAGGGCAGTTCAACAAGTTATTATGCAAACAACACGTGCAGATTTACTCTTTAAAGTAAACATCTTTGTCCTGCTGTGTAATACACTAGGTCAGTCAATGAGCATGGGAACATGTGACCTGTCCATGTTATCAAAAGTCACGAAAGACCTGGATCTAAGTGACATCGATTGGTGTGGATATGTTTTTGATTGCCTTAAGGAGACAAAAAGTGCATGGAATCCAAACAACAAAAAATGATTCTATGTTGGGCCAATTATCTTACTGCTGGTAAGAGTTGTTATAAATTCAACTGTCATTCAATATTGGTTTACTTATGTGTGCAAATTCATTAAAGTGTATTTAATTAATACAGTATGTATTTGTCTTTGTTGTAGTTGCTATATGTAGAAAGTGTTCGATGCGATTCAGTGAAGATTGTACGAGGTAGACCAACAATATGTTTTTGGAATGTTGATAAACTGCGTGAGCGAGAAAGAGTAGAGTGTAGGACAATAGGCCTGGGTATGGGTGAATTGCAAGAACCATTTCAAGTCATCAATGAATCATCGGGAACTAGTAATGTAGGTTAAGAAAAAGTTCAGGTAATATTTTATTATATTGAATAATGCATATGAAATTTAAAATTTGTTATTTTGTATAATCTAAATTAATTATATTCATACATGTTGACAGGGAAATGATGCAGGAGGTGTGAAAATTAGTGATGGAAGGTGTAAGGTATTAATATAATATAATCATTAATAAATAATAAGGTATTAGTACAAAAACTAATAGTGTATTAATTTTCGTAGGGAAATCAAGGAGAGGAAATTTTTAGTGGAAGTGGGGAAAGTGTTGAGGTAGTTTACTAATTATTCACATTTGAATTATGAGTTACTATAGTATTAATTAATACTAAATGACATATTAATGTTTTTATTTGGTTTGTACCGTAATTAAATTGTGTTGACCTTATTAGACAACTATTTCAACAATAAAGGAGATGCACGACATGCTAGTGCAAACAAAAGAAAGTGTTGGAAGACAAAATAAATGATGCTGTCAAGAAATATCCTGAGAATCAATTGGTCAAAGAATGGAAAAACAAAGTAAATGATCTGTTTAATGAAGTTTCCGCATCAGAGGAACCAGAACAATCTCAATGGTGGTATGATAACGAGGCTGAAATTGAACGTACATTGATTCTAGCAACATCTCACAAACAGTTTGACAACTCCCCGATAGCAAACTGTAGTATTCAGATGTCAAAGGAATATGCAGACTTCGTGAATAGATCTGGAAGAAAATCTTTTCAGACTACACCACCATCTAAAATGGAAATGCCAATTCCTTTGTCTGTAGTACCATTCAACAATGAAGAAAAGGGGTTTAATAGAAGAGGGTACATGCCTCGCATGAAATCCGAATATCTGAAATCTCCTTACATTATACGGGCTGTTGATATCACCAAAGGAGTTCCACGACAAGAAAAACGTGTAGCAGAATGGATATTCTCTCTCCAGGGAGAGCCAAAGTAAGTTGCATTTAAAATATGTTTAAAATTACTTAATTTTGTTGGTTGCTTATTAAAATAAGTATCAATTGGTCACGTCTTTTGCAGTGATATAGTTTTCCACACTTTGGATGGTTTTTCTGCTGAGAGGTTTCACATGGAAAGTTTTTTTCCAACATGTGAACTATTTGGTCATGTGATTGATTGTTGGAGTCAAGTGTTGAATCTTGATGAAAGTAAGCGTGCACCTGAATCGCCTCTGAGAGTTTATTGCAAGACAGATTTGACGGTATAATTTAATATTGTTCAATGTTGATTAAACTATTTTTTAAATACAACTTATAAATAAACTAATGAGTTTTTAAAAATGGATTACAGAATTCGTATCTTGAAAGTGATTTAACAGAAAGTCAACGTAAAGATAAATTCATTGAGAATCTGTTGCTTTCTATTGAAGATATGGACGCAAGCCTACGTTACGTTGGATTGGTAAGATACATATCTGAACATTTTACTTATGTGTTTATTTATCATTGATCAAATATGAATATTAAATAAAGTGAATACATGTAAATGAATATACGTTACAGCTTTTCCTACCAGTCATCCGTTCCTTCCACATTTTCCTTTTTGTGATCAATCTACAACACCCAGAGTTTGTAATCATTGACAACAACAAAGTTGATGATCATATTGATGAGAGATATGGTCAGTTGCCCCAAATCATTGTAAGTGATTAATAAAAGTTACATTACCTAGTAAATAACATTTCATATGTGTTGACAATCTTTTTTACATTTTCAGAAAAAGTACATAATTGATTACTTAAAATCTCAGAATCATCCAAAAACTGAGATGTTTTCACATGTGATGCCATATAGACTGGAAATGCCTTGGAGAACAATAAACAACCACATTGATTGTGGTGTGTTTACAATGCGTCACATGGAAACGTATATGGGTGGAAGTATGAATGAGTTTAAAGTTGGGTTCAAGAACGAGTCTTCTGCACAAGATGATCAACTTGTTAAACTGAGGACAAAGTATTTATACAAAATCATCACTCATGAATATAATGTGCAAAAGGATTATGTGCTCCAAAAGGTTGATGAATTCCACAAGATTCCTTCAAGACAACGTTCTGAACTGTTGGCCATTGCAAAGGAACAAATTCACACAAGATTGGATGATTTTAGTTAATTATGTTAAAAAAGTTATTTTAGTTATGACTTTGATGGTTTCTTTTGGATAGTTTTAAAACAATGATTTTGTATGTTAATGATATTAACTTGGGTTGTAGAATGTACAATAGTTCCTTTTGGTTTGCTAATTTAGTAATGGAATGGTAATATTTTAAACTTAATATTAATAGTTATAATTTTACATTAACTTTTGTAAAATTAAATAAGAAATAAATTATGTCAAACAATGATGATTAACATGACTGGTATAATTATAATGTACAGTCGGTAATGATTCTTACTAACAAACATTTGTTAATATGCTATACTACTATGATCATACAATCAGAACTTTTAATAATTTAAATGACTATATCTATAGTCTATAATGATTGTTGTTGTTTTTATATCTTAAAGTATTGAATAAATAGCATAAATACATGAATTAGTCATAACAGATTCTACTTTAAATGCAAATTGTTTTAACATAATAGCAGAGTATTTCACAATTTTCATAGCATTAATCTGTTGAAAGTAATTAATGTATTTATGATATTATTCATTATTGACTATAACAAAGGGTTTAAAGTTTAATGTTGTTAAACTTATGACTAAAATATACCCAAAAGCAGACATGAAATAGTATATAAAAAAACATGTAAAATAAATCAATATATGATGTATAGGTGTTTTAAAATATAAAACAACATAATGAAACATAGAAACATCTCCTTATTCATGAATCGTACAAACATTTGTTAGTATGATATACTACTAACAGCATACAATAAACTATGAATACTGCTTGAATTGTATATGTCTATAGTCTATAATGATTGATGTTTATATAATTTCAACAAAGGAAAAATATATCTATTCTAAATGCAAACTGTTTTAATCAAATAACAGAGGTTTAAATGCCTGTTCATATCATTAATCTGTTATGATTACCAGATATGTTTATGATATTATTCATTGTTGAATAAAACAAAACGTTAAAAATCATGAAGGTGTTTTAAGATAAAATAACATACTGAATCATAGAAACATATTCTTATTCATAAATCTAATAGAAAAATAAAATCTATTGGGCAAATGAATGGGCCATTTTAAGGTTGTTTTGACTCTCGTGCAAGTCTGACTTTGCAAGTCCTCCAATTATGGTTAACATATTGATTGCAACCTGTGCAAATTCTAGTTTTTTTCTTTGCAGCTGCAACAGCTTTCTCAGTAGCACTAACCATTTTTTTCTTAGTTCCACTCCCTTTGGTACGTATAGATGAAGGTGGATGGATATTTATTTCATCAGGAATGTTGCGTATTCCAAGCATCCGAATAATTTCTTCTTCATCATTATCAGATGATGATTGGTTTGAACTGCCAAACTCCATTGCTGCCTGCTTCAAGATACGTGTTTTTTCAACAAATTCCAACAATTTCTCCTTGCTTCTTTTGAAATGATCCAAGCAGTATTCAATATTGATGTATGCCTCTGTTAGAAGTTTAAAGGTGTCATCTTCGGTTTCCATGGCAACATGTTTCATGGCAAGCAAATGGCTGGAAATTGCATCCCTTCTCCATCTTCTGAGAATATACTGCTCTGGAATCTCTTCAACATGGTTGTTTTTCAATACAACAAAAATATGACGACACAAAATGCCAGTACGTATAAAGTGATTGCATGAACATTTAACTTCTTTTTCAGGCAACTTTAGTTCAACCTACATTGTATAATAAAAATAATGTATGTTAGTAACTCGTTGAATTAACATATTAGTTGGTGGTTATTGCATAATATTGAAACAAGTATATGTAATTTAAAAATAATGATATAATATACTTGTATGATCACTAATGAATAGCGTTTCAACAATGAATATAACCTTGCATTTTATCTTCAACTGTTTGCTCTTATTCGTTTGTGTAATCATAACAACTTGCCACCCATTAATCATTTCAACACTGTCAATAGAACAGTACCAGGCTGCTTTAAATATTTCCTTTTTGACCTCATAGAAAACGGTTTTAGTGTAAACCGCAGTTGCATGTTCTAGTAATCCACTTGGAAGCATCATTTCATGTTTTGCATTTTTTGTATCATGTTCTAGTTTCTGTTGACCATTTCGTTGCTTTCCAATTGCAGTGGCATAGTTCATCATGAAATAGATAAGAAATTACCAGAGTTAGAGTATTTATTAAAAAATGAGTTGACACTTTCAGACCTTGAAGTAGTTTTCATCAGACCATGTAGTGGCATGTCTTTAAAATAGGCTGGAATCCAAAGCTTTCGATCCTTGTACATGTCTTTGAACCATCTTTTGTCTTGTAGTTTGAATTTTCTCATAAGCAGTTTCCACCTTGATTCAAAGACTTTAGGCTCGATGTAGACATTCCAAACAAGCTTAGTAAAACGCTTTCGAAAATCAGTGTTTTTCAGAAAATCTGCTGAAACCTAAAAAAAAACATTAGAATTTTATAAGATTATCTATGAATAAACAATATCTATGCTAATCATTTTTAAAAATACGTAAACTGTTTAAATCATTGCTTAATAAAACATGTTCTGTGTTAACTATGAATAAAATATACACACCTTAGCTTGTAGTTTTTTCATAATGTGCCACATACATAAGCGGTGATTAGAATTAGGAAATATTGCTTCAACGGCCTGTAGAATTGTTGGATCTTGGTCTGTTAACACTAATTGAGGGTGTTTTCCATGTGCTTTCATAAAAGGTTCAAGCAACCAACGATAAGATTCTATTGACTCGTTGATTAACAAACCTGCTGCAATGTTTATTGAACGTTTGTGGTTATCAATAGCTGTAAACGGCACAAAAATCATTCCATACCTGTATTAAAAAGTTAATTAAAAACAAATTCAACAGTTATTATAAACTCAAAAAACAGCAATATTCATATTTAAAGAAAAAAAATAGAAAGTATAAGAGCATACTTATTTGTTCGGAATGTAGCATCAAATGAGATCACATCTCCAAACTCCTTGTAATATAATTTATCGGTTTCATCCGCCCAAAACATTGCGTTTAACACACTATCAACACATTTATACTCAAATGTGTAGTTAGGTAACTCATCTTTCCTCATGTTCATTTTGTCAACAACCAACTGTGCATCCTTGTCACCTATAATCTTTCCCATTTTCCTTCTAAAATTTTAATAATCAATTGCTTCAGGGCCAGCATTTTCATAACCTCCTTGCAAACTAGCTTGTAACTTATGTGCCTTTGTTGCACCAATGTTAGATGTTGAAGAACGCACTATAAACTCCTTGTCTTTATAACTAAGTCGTCATGCACGTTTGGAATACCGTCTTTCTTCTTTAGTTTCTAGGGGGTGGTCGTGCTTCTCTTCAAACTCATATATTTTACAAGCATTAGTTCGCATATGTAACCTTTCAAACTTTATCAATGCCTTGCAGTCCGTGATTCTGAAGTTTGAGTTTCGTTTATTCCTTCCAGTTCCGTCAGGATCCAAAGTGTCAGTTGATCTATTAGGTATTTTACCCATTTTGTTGCACACTACATACCTTTTTTTTAATGGTTTTGTCACCAAACCTCGTTACTGTATTTAACCTGAGACCAAAACTTGCTTTATCTGCATATAATTTATACATTTCAACCGCCTCCTCTAATGATTGATAAGTAGCATCTACATCTGGCATAAATTCTTTAGGAACAATAGGTTTCCACAACTTGGTTTTCCCACCAGGCGAGTCAACAACATTACTATTGAATGATTCCTCTTCAGAATCAGTTCGATTTGTACCTGTTTTTTTAGTCAACAAAAAACAATAATGCGACATGAGAGACATAATATAAATTTAGATCAATTACGTATTCATAAACTAAACAATTTTCTAATCATAATCAACATGTGTGAAACAGTAATCAAAATTGAAGTGTTTACTCATTTTAAAATACATAGAACTATGTCAAAAGATTTAAATCATTATCATATATGATTGTTACGCATAATCACCAATGCTTATCAAACTTAAGAAACATTGTATTAAACTTACGAAACAATGTACAACAATTTGTGATATACACCAGCATTAACTAATTAATACATAAAACGTATATGATTAATCGTATACAAATATGTACCGAATAAATGACACGTCTTATTCATCATATACATAAATTCAATGCTGATTGTAATACACGAACTGTATTTAAAAGATGTTGATATTGTTACCTTCACTAGCATTATCAGATAATTGAATTCTTCCGTTGTATTGATCGTCCGAATGATAGAAATCGTCTTCATGATATTGATTATTGTCGAATGCTTCGTCGCCATAATGATCATCATGTTCGGTATCATCGCTACTGTAATCAAAACAGTCCGACATCGAAAATTTGGGTTAACAAATTCCTACGTTGTTATCTTCAACCATAATCGATGTTACAGATACAATTGTCGATTGACTAAATCACGAATCGTATATTGGAAACCGTATCTTCAATTCAAAGATAACTATGGAATATCCCTTAATTATAGGTAAATAATAATGGATAATATATTGATTATTAATTGTATTATATTAATTAAAAATTATATTAAATACAAATTTACTTAAATACCCTAATAAAATGATTGGCTGATAAGTGTTCTCGCGTTCTCAACCTTTTAGGTGTTCTCAATTGATCCTACTCCTATATATATATATATATATATATATATATATATATATATATATATATATATATATATATATATATATATATATATATATATATATATATATATATATATAAAAGTAGGCTTTTTTTTGCAAATTCAGTTCTGGTCAGTCCGGCCACATGATGTTGTGAATAACTTTTGTATTCAACAAATAAGATCCTATTTTAAGATAGAGGATATTGCGAGTTCAAAATAGTAAAACCTAATGGTTGCATCCCCACATGATGTTGCATGGATCTGGAAAATATTAAAAGGTAAAGTAATTTGAAATATATTAGAAAAATATCATTTACGTTAAGTGGCGTAGCC